AAGTGCTACAGCTACTCCACTTACTACTTCGAAGCTCGGACCTGCATGACCCAATATGTCGGCGCACCTTTCGGTTCCCCGGGCTCCCTACCCATTTCCTATACTCCTTCAGTCTATGCATGTCGATTTGTGAGGTTTCTTTGTAATGCCTGCTGCTGCCAGCGTTTATGCGAGTAGCTACCTCAGCGTCACCCTCAACTTACTGTTCGCATTCCGATTTTAACCCCCACCAACGCGAATTTATTTTTGATAAATTTCGTCTTCAACAGAGATCGAACCCATTACACGTTTGTATGCGTGTGTGGTTCGTAAGATGCCCCTCTCTCCCATTGTAGTGTTTGGGATGACATGGAAAGGAATTTAATACGAAAAGAGTTTCTCGGTGTAGTGGTAACACGTTCGCCGGGGAATCAAGAAGTCTACGGTTCGATTCCGGGTCCCGCTATTGTATTTTTAGCCTTCTTATGCTACCCGAACTCTTCCCCCACCCCCCTCGGGTTATTACGCTCTCGAGAATAGATCCGACAGTCGCAAAAGCGGAAAAAAAGTGCTCGCCCGCGAGAGGGAGACGTAGACCGGAGGCAGGCAGAAGGTGCCACACATGCACACAGATCCAAGCATCGGAGGCTTAATACCCACGAACGCAGCTTCATTGCGTTTTTAATGTACTGTATAGGATGGGTCACACCGATCCAGCCTCACATATGCACTTTCGTTCATTAGTAAGGTAAATGCCTAGATTTGAACATCTTCAAGTCAATCGATTAGTTGGCTTTTTAAAAAATATGTATATTTATGATTTTTTAAATTAAATCTTCTTTTTCTTTTTGATTGTTTGCAGCGATAGACCAGGCCGATAGATAGACCGATAGGCCAGGCGCCATTTCGGCCACCTTCTTATCTGCCCAAATCAAGCATTTTTCTTGATCGTAATGTATTCTGGGCGATTGACTTGATTTGATTGACTTGATTGATTATTCAACGAACCTTGATGAAGTGCAAAAAAAAATCCTAAGGGTAGATAAAAAAAATGTATTTTTTACTGCAAAAGAATCCATTGAATCAAGGCTCATTTAATGTTGACTCTTCCACCGTGAATAGCGCAGCATTGATTCAATGTTGAGTCAATGTGGGTGTATAAACGGTGATGGTCACCGCGTTGAATCAATGTTGATTCAACATAGAAGTATAAACCTTCAACAGTGAAGCATTCGATCCACACCAAATCAATGTTGAATCAATGTTATGTGCTACCTGGGTCAATTCAACATCATGAATTACATATCGACGGTGAGAGCCTGAAAAGACCTTCAAAATGTCACAAGTTATGAGCTTNGCCTGAAAAGACCTTCAAAATGTCACAAGTTATGAGCTTGGTTATCGTTTAAAACGAGTAATTGAAGCTGTCAAATTTGGAGAAAATGGAAAATTGGACTTTTCAAATTTGATTTTCCGTTATTTCAAACCGAATGGTAACTTAAAATTCGGCGCTTCATATAACTTTTGACTAGTTTCCCAATGTACCAAAAGCTCTTTGTGTTGATATCCTTTTCACTGTCAAAAATAATTATGCTAAATTTTGCATCTTTTCATTTTTTATAATTTACGACTTAGTTTCTCGTCAATATATCATAAAAGACAGTTAATATTCTGATTCTACACTATCTCATCTTTAATTCAACTCCAAGAACGACCTCCTTGCTTCTTTATGATCAATTATAACAATTAGATTCCAAAGGTCTCCTTTCCTCTCTGGCATGAAATTTCCCGGAGAACTGTTGGAGTCAGAGCGTTGGAATTGAGATATTTCCCACAACTCTTACAGCACATTATGTGAATTTTTTCCGAGCAAATCAGAAACTGCACGAAAGCGTCTAAAATTTGATCACTTGAACGAGAATGACTCAACATTGATGCGCTTTTGATATGATTGCTTAGAATGTGCACCAAAGATAATCTACTGCAAGTTTTCAAATTCAAGTCGTGGTCTTCATGCATCCCAAAAACTGTCCCATTTTGGAAAACCCAACTTGTCTATGATTTTCGAGGCGTTGAACCATTGAAATGGTTAATGGGCGTGTGGCATACTAATTGTTTCTGTCCAAATTGCTCTCTCGATGGTCTCTATGTGCCATTCTTCCTCATCTTCCCTTGGAGATCTATTTCCATACAGTATCAGCACTTTTTTTACAGTTGACCAACCAGTTGTAGGAAGCTTCACACTTTAGTGCACGTTTGCCACAAATACACTGCAAGAAGTACGATGTTTCAACATTATATTCCGCAATTATGTTCAAGTCTCCAACTTCGAACATATTTGTCACTTTTTGTGATTGTTCATGAATTGACAAAACTGGTCTCACTGTTGCTAAACCTGCAGTAAACCAATGCTAGCAAGCCAAAGCCACATCGTTTGGATTTGAAGAGTACCAATTGACCATACTCCGTAAGTAATTCTCAGATAAAATTACATTCACACCCTTCTCTTCGTGAAAAATTAATAACTTACTGAGTGGCCCTCATATATAGTAGGTTACTATTGAATAGCAGCTTGTACATCTCAAATCTATACATATTTTTTAATTCATTTGATTTTTTTGATTGATATCAAGAAATTATTTGAACTTAGAGACTGACGCCAGGCAGGAGATCCTTAGGGTAAAGCCTTGGTTGCCCAGGTTTCCAGCCTGGGCCATAGAAAAGGACTTTCAGCCGGTCCTCCAAGCTCTTCATCTCCCATAAGGATTTGCAGATGTTCTGAAAATGGTGAAACTGATTCCGAAAGAATCCATTCGTTTGAGTTTTACTTGAAGTTTTTCAAATAAAACTCGTAGATGCGTCAAAATGACAAACTTGGAGTTTCATGGGATTGAATGTGCTGACTGTATGGGTGAGGCCATAAACAACTTGCTCGCTTTCGGGTTCAAACGTCCCAAAAATTCGATCCCAGATGATGAGCACTCCTGCATAGTTCTTGTCTATGCAGTACCGGTTGCATCCTGTGAAAAACTAAAACCTTAGAAACAGCTTTTTTCGCTTCCCAGCTTTGAGAAAATTGAATTCAGACCGTGATGGACTCGGTGATGCGATGGGGTGTTGATGATGTACTCAAGAGGTCCCAGGGAGGAAATTGTCTCCGTATGAAGCCAGAACTGGTAGAGAAGGTTCAATTGGGTGTGGACTAGAATGTGACTTGGTGGGGCACCCAGCAGCGCCGTTGGGATGTAGAATACCTGTCAAAAGAAATTAAACCAATAATGCATATTTAACACGTAAAGACAGGAAACACTTGGAATTACATTGAATCTAATAATGGACACATAAATGACAGGTAATGAGAGAATCACGGGTGATGTGAATGACGAACACTTTCCAGTACAACCGAGAAGAAATCTGAGCTTCGATCTTCAGTCAAAAGTTGGAAACTGGCTCTGTACAAAGCAATCATCTAGACCAGGGGGGCCAAAGTGCGGCCCGCGAGGAGTTTTGGAAAGCTAGGAAATTTGTTATGATGATGTAAATGAATGAATGATTTTAGGGCTACGGAATGAATGAACGGCCTGACTAGGTTTAAATTCTCTCGCGGGTAAGTGTACTATTCCCGGTCAAAATTCTCGGATATGGAATCATCCTGACACTTTTATCGGGGGTAAACACGAGGCGCAAAACTGGACTTCACATCCAGGTGCCACCTGTGAGGGCGAGAGAATCCGCAGGACTGCCAGGTTCTGCTGAAAATATGCGTTGCACGCATCATTCCAAAAAGCTTCTTTGCATTTCTTTTCACCCACAAATTTCTCTGATAAATTCATGCTGTCAGATTCCTCCCAATTACCACCACGGCATCGCAAACATACCGCAGTAGGAGATTCACATCAAGATCATTTATACCATGTCATGGCACCTTCTGACATCCCTACCTATTTCTACAATCCCATCTGGAAGGGGTGAAGGGAGAATAGGAGCAAAAACCTGGACTATATTGCACCAGCCTCGTCCGTAGGGCTGGTACTGTAGGTCATCCGTCTCTCTAAGGACAAACGAAAAGGGAAAATCTTGTCGAAACCGTTCATTCCATGAAGACTGGGATCATCAGTCGAGCCGATACCAACCGACAGTGTGGATGTGCGAATTACAGTTTGGATTCTATTTCAGCAATGTCAGCAGAGCGTAAAATACCTCGTATCGATGAAGAAAATCGCATATTTCAAGACAAGTCGACCCACGAATACTTTGGGCGACATGCACCAATGGAGGAATCGGAATAGTTTAAAGACGCGATGAACGCGTTTACTAAAACATGTTTAAGAAAATGTTTCTTTGACATGCCCCATCGAAAATCATATTAGTTTCGTGAACACGTTAATCCACGACTTAAACACATTTAAAAGCGGTATGGGAGCCCTTGCAAAGAGAATGATGATTAGTGTGGCAGCTGCAGCTCCATCGTCCGCAGCAAGTCGGCGACGGTGTCCTTGGAAAGAACAAAACTTTCGGAATTCGTCTCCATTGAACCATTCAATTGAGTTGATCTCTGAAAGTTCGACAGTCCTGGCAGTCCAGGCCTGAACCAAACCTGGCAGTTTGGTTCAGAATCACGTCAAAAACTCCTATCTCGTCATTAGTTTCCATTTCCACCGTCGCTGGATGATGAGAGGCAAGAAAAAGGAGGCCCACATCAGCGAAACAGCAAGCTGAATTAAGTCAAAAACAGGAAAAATATTTTTTTTTGGCATAATATTTACCAGGCAGAAAAGCAAGTTTCCAATTATGCGGCCCGCGAGCCCTCACCCTACAGGCTATGCGGCCCCGCTGACCCAAAACTTTGGGCATCCCTGATCTAGACTGTACAGAGATGGCGCCAGTACACTCTCAACTCAGATTGACTGCAGGAGGGTCAAATGGTCAACTTTTTTTTACAGCGGTGAAACAAATTGTAACAGGGGAAATCGAGTGCATTCGAATGATGCATTACACGGGAATTTGGGTTGAAAATTAAAATGAAAAGTCAACTGGGTCACGCCTAAGGTCAACTGAAAAAAGAATTTGCATATCTACAAAAAAAATACGAATCGAATGAGCTATCGATGATGAAAATCGGTTGAGACACCCGGATGGAGTTCACTGGACTAATTCCGATCATAACTTACAGACATCAGCAGGTGGTTGTGTATAGTGTAGATGGCGGGGGAGGGGGGGGGGGGGAGACGTTCGTGGAAGGACAAGGTTGTCATATATATATATCTATGCAGAAGTTGCAATTTCCTTATACATTATTCATTGCAATGCAACAATTAAGGGAAAAAGTAAGGAGGAATGATCTCAAGCAAGCAGGAATGCATGGAAACGATGTTGTGCCACATACTTGACAAGGAGGAGATACTTGCGAATCCAAAACAATATCAAAAAGGGGGTCATCTGAGCTCGACTTGACCGGGCCAGGGGCGCATCACCAGCCCGACTGGGAATAGCCCTATTCATGCGGAGATTTCGCTGGAAATGTAGGTAGGCCTACTAGAAATGTCTGATAATGATGTTGTTTCACAGTTGGGCCTATTCCCAATATAATTCATGTTCACTTGTAAATTTCGTTGCAAAAGACTAATAGGGTACATGAGGACCGGCCCGTTGGCCCTTGAGAAGACAAGCCCGCCGGCCCTTCAGGGGACTGGCTCTTCTGGCATTTGCCAGAGCTGCCAGATGGCCAGTCCGCCCCTGCTCATAGACGTAAGATTGAACCTTGCATAAGTGTGTTTTGTTTTCCCTGCAGGCAATGATAATACAGGTCTAAGCCTAACTTACTTTAGACTGGCCAATTATGAATGTGTACTGCTGCTAATTTTCTTTGCTTAGGTGATTCATTTCACTGCAGGGATATTCCAAAAAGCCCAGTGTCTCATAGCTTGAAGCTTGTGTCATTGGGACCTGTCACATAGAGTTCTCAGGCTCAGAGTTAAGTACTAGTGTTTGCCTCTGTTGATGAGAGCTGCTACTAACAGTAGAATTACTGTCAAAATTCAAAGGAGATGTTCACTTTTGAAGAGTGCAACTGATCAGGAGTCCAGGAATCTTAGGAGTGTACCTCTGCATCTTCCATTTTGGCTGTCGCAGATGACTACAGACTGAATCATCAGGCAGTGCAAGATCCAAGATCTTGTGTATTCTGTGCACTCTTTGTGTACTGATGATGTACAACATATGTTAAAATCTGTCATTTTTAACATCCCATGTTGACAGAGACAGGTTGCCCATGGAAGCAACCAGAGGCGGATATAGAAATTTTTCATAGGGGGGCGGTTTCCAAATTCCTACCTATCCCTCCCCCGGCCTACCACCTTTCCTCGTCCTTTCGTCTTTTTTTGTTATTTTTTGTCTGGGGTAAGAACTTGAATATCTATTTCATTGACTCCAATAAAATTTAATACAGGTGCTATTTTTAATAAATAAATCAAATGCTAAACTGGCCATAGGGGGGGGGGAACGGTCGCCCCCCCCCTGCCCGCACACAGTCGCACACAGCGCACTCGCTTTTCAATGCTCAACCGAACACCAGCCATGACTTTTCAGCCCTGTTGTTCCGTACTCTTCCTTACTCTGAAATTGAGGAATGAAAAATTCAATTGAATTGAACGATGAATGACAATTACACTGAAATCCCCGCTACATGCTACACGTCACTGCATCACGCTCTGTCTCACCGTTTCATACCTATTGGCCATCAAAAGTGACACATTATTTATGGGCTACCCTGTAGTTTCTAAATTTTAGTCAATTGGTTTAATTTCAGAGATTAAAGAAGCAGTATAAAACAGATTAAATATTGATTAACTTAAAAAGGATAAAATTGCATTAAAATTTGAGGAATTTTTGCCGAAGGGTAAAATTCCTCAAATCCTCAAGTTTGGCAGGTAACCTCATTTAAGATGATAAAATTTCAGTTAATTGACAATTTCAGGTAAAATTCCTTTCATCCCCCTTGCTCAGTAAAAACAAAGCTGCTGCAAGCCATTTTATTTTCAACTCCACTGAATGCATGGTGAGATTATCAGCATGGGAGGATCAAGGGGATGGAAAGAAGCACTTACTCTTCTAGTAGAAAACTAATATTACATTCATGTCAGAATTAATCGTGGGTAGTGATCATCTTTGAAATGCGGAGTCAATACGTTGACAGTACCCTATACTTGCATTCATTTCATGCCAAGTGACGAAGGAGTATGCTGAATCATTGAAAAAATTGTCAAATTCATGAGAATGAAAGGCCTCCCTAATGCTTCTGCACCATCATATAAATTCTAGTCACCTTTTCCTAAAGCAACCCCGGAGCTTTCTCAAAGCTATATTTGAAACCATCTTGTTAATGGAAATTGTATTGTATTTATTTTGAAAATACAATTTTTTCTTCATTTGTGCAAAATATTTCATTTATGCTTAATTTCAAAGTCAAATTTTCAAGTTTGTGACCCTAAATTTTTAAGCTGCAAAACTTGGGAGAACTTTGGATGTAGAGATTTACTAGAAAAATTTTAACCGTGACAAGTTTGTGAGACTTGCACAGGTTAACAATTATTCCAACTTCAGTCTTTTTTCAAAGATTCACAGGTAACATTTTGTGGTAAACTGGAACATTTTAGGAAAGTTTGAAATGAAAAAATTAAGTATGCTTTTACAGTAATACACAATTATTATATATTCTCATTTTTCAAGCTGGATGAATTCGATATGGGAACCATGTTCATTCAGATAATTTATCCCATGAAAGGGTTTGAAATTTGGTCAAAAATTGGATTTTGGGAGTACTTTTATGGACTTAAGAGGAATAGGTGCTGGAATTTTTTTAAAATGACATTTGTACAACATCATAAAGAAGATATGGAAAGGGGCGCAGAACAGGGCCATCATCAAAGTTGATCAATGGGCCACTGGCGGCAAGTGTGACAAATTGTGTCATGCTGTCATTTCATGTGTCATTTCATGTGTCATTTCGTCTTCCATGGACCGTCAATTATCCTCCCGAAACGTAGCGAGCGGCCCAGCAGCGATGTGCTACCCAGGGGCCAGCGCATGAAGGGCCTTCAGCGGGCCGTCGAGTAGCGGGACCCTGGCTACAACTGTGCCATAAAGGGTGCCATGCCTCTCGTGTCGTAGCTGGCGGGCCATCGCCTACATCTCCCAGATGTAGCGCGCGGTCCGCCAGCGTTGTGCTACCTGGGCGAGCTATTGACACTAATTTTTTATGGGTTCTTCTCGTTGGCATGCTCAAAAATGGCAACCTAGGCAGGAGGCAGACTTGGGAGTTTAAGTGGTTCAGAAAAGCCTCTTTTATCTTGCATTATTATAATTATATTAAAGTATTATTATTGAAGGCTGGCGGTTTATTTGGAAGAGACCAATTTTCATGGCGAAAAATCTTGAGAGTCTAATGCCATTTTTCACTCACTAAATGAGATGAAAAAGGGAAGTTTCTGTCAAATTTATGCCAGCCAACCTTAGAAACCTAAAGCTTGTACTCAAAATGTTCACTTTCAAATCGAACCAGAGCTCTGCTCCTTTTCTTGATTGAGAACCAATATTTTTCTTCATAGCCTTGATATTTTCTCAGTTCGAATGGAACAAGGAGCAATGCCGTTTCAGCAATTTTTTCTCTGCAATGTTGCCAACTTTTTCATAGAATTCCATAATGAACTAATCAGAACTGTAACAGAATCTGCATCTATGGGGTTGAGTCCTTCCTCCGTAGGAGACCCTCCTTACCGCCGCCACTACACACCAGTTGAAACTAATTAACGATATCTGAAGACACTGTTCAGGGTTTCGAAAATGAATAGCGGGGGAATCATTGCTGTTTTGATAGAATCGCAAAAAAAAAATTGAACCATTGAAATTATCCTACCTCAAAGAAAAAACATATGGATAAGTTCGCACAAGTACAAATTTTTTACAATAAAAATTTTTCATCCGTTCATGAATTTTTTTTTCACATGGCTGTTTTCCTTACTAAAATAGAAGAATACAATTTCCAAGCTTTTAACTTCGATCAGAGGCTCTTTCGTGACCGCGTCATTATGGAGACTCGGAGATAAAAGTCAAAGGAAGAGACAGCCTACAATCGCACTACTCTCAAGCGCGCAAACTCAATGAGTGGAGAAAGAGGAGGAATTCACAGGACCCGCCTCTTCCTTTCGCAGGGCAGCGCAAAAGCCTTTTGGACCAAAGTGGGGACCTCGGAAATGATTTTCCATATGTTCACATTTTCATGTCGAAGCTTCATGGAAACTTCACTCACGAAATCAAAACAGGGCAGAAGGAGACTATTCCGAAGAGCCGTTGTGAGGTTGCATTCCTTGGAGTTGTGATGCAATTGATGAACTGCCCAAAACAGGTTCACCTCTGGAAATGCATATACATACATCTAAGTCAATTGGAAGATTGCATTTTGTTAAATTTAACATCACGTTTGCAAATGTTTCAAGCTGATAATTATGAGGTACTACCTGTTTCCTTTTGCATGAAGTTTCGGGTTTGCCAAGGGATAACAGAAGCTCGCTATAAAAATGAATAGTTTTGATATTAAAATAGTTTTGAAAATGAACCATTTTTCTTTTTTTTACTTAATAAAGAAAAAATCAGGATAGAATTTCAGCATTTTTTAAGCAACTGCCAATTTAGGCGCGTAATCTAATGCCTGGTTAGAGATAACTTTCGAACTCAAGGAATATAGTTACAGTAAGGGATCACTTTCGTCCTAAGTACGAGAGGCGTTCAAAAAGTTTTTTTACCTTAGGCACTTTAAGTTGCAATACACCATTCATAATTTTTTCATAGAAAGACAGATGTCATTCATGATGAATGGAAAATTTTCAACATATTTTCTACGATGGAAAGCTCCTATGAATTTTACCAATTGTTACCATGGAGTCTGCTGAAGGGGTATTAAAATTGAAAAGAATGCTGTGATGAATTTTCTAATTTTGAAGGAATCATTTTCCTAATGGATCTTGAAAAGTAGGGTCAATAATACAGTATCCTTTCAGCCACCTAAAGATCTGCTGAGAAACCGACTCCTTCATGGTTAGAAAATTCATCACAGCATTCGTTTCAGTTTTAATATCACTTCAGCATACCCCTTGGTAGCACATTGAAAAAATGCATTGAATTTTTCGATTCTATTCTAGTTTATTCACCAGTGTCAAGGTCACAGGAGAGAGCTGGATCCAAGAGTGAGTTTTAGAAGGAAGTTTAGCAGCTCAAAGAGAAAGAAAGGGGATAGTATGTATTAAGGAAAATTCAACATCCATGCATTCCAGAGGTTTATTGCATGATAACTTAGGTTATATAGATGTTGAGATTTCTGATAGCAAAAATGATGAAGATAATTTGAGGCCCTATTGTAGTGTGAAAACATTCTTTTTGATGCAATGAAAATATTGTCATTTGCTCCATCAGGTAAATTACTCATCATACCAATTGAAATTCTTACGTAAACCGCATAGCCCTTTTTAGCCTATTTCAGAGTTAAAAGTTTACATTGCATGCGTCAATAGCCAAAAAAAATAGCATAAATAATTCAGATGCGTGCATTTTGTAGGCAACATCCCTAATAGCACATAACATTGAAACAACATGGATTCAATGTTGATTCAATGTTATGTGCTACTGGGGATTGTTTTCAGATGATGCAGGAGTCCACTGATCTGTGATTCAGGGAGGAAGACATCTGACTTTATCAGTTCAACTTCTCTCTCAGAAAAAGTACAGTGTAGAAAGTATATCTGATGGACTTGAAGCAGTTCCATTTTGTTTATGATAAACAGTTTGCTTGTTGAAGCTGAATGCATGTGAAGATGTCTAGCATGGGCTTCATTGTAGTTCAAAGTATCCACCTACTTGCAAAATTTTTGAAGAAACAGTGACTTTCGTGGAGGGGGCAGCGCGATGGAGCAGCTCTTCGCACCAGATTCTTGGAAACATTAAGAGGAGATGTGAAAAAGTTTTTAGATACACCTCGTGGATCTCGAAAGGTCTATAAGCATGAGCTTCTATGGAAGCTGTAGGGACTATTGGATAAATAGGTAGTACTATGGACCATTCAGTTCTGATACAGTGATTGCAGGAGTTCTGTTCTAGCAGGAGTAGGGGTCTAGTAGAGGGATGAGTATAGGTTTTGTCAGTACATGCTGGGCTACACTAAGGTTGCATTCTCTCTCCTTTTCTGTTCCTTGCATACATGGACAAGATCTGTATGTATAGCCTGGGCTGCAAGGGGGTCATCATCAGTGGTGCATCACTAATAAAGTTACTTCTCCTGGCTGGTGATGCTGTTTTAGTAACCCAGTCTAGTCATAAGCTTTGCACAATGATGAATCAATTCAACTCATTGTCCTTCATAGCGTACACTTAATTTCAAGTGAAGGGGCTCCTTGAAACAGTTGGAGTGGAGTATCTGTATCTCTACTTTTCAAGCAAAGGGTGATATACAAAAGATATAGACAATCGCATCTCCAGGACTTCCACAGTTTTGCAGAAACTCTGGTGGTCATTGACTACCAAATGGAATACCTCTAAAAAGGCACAAGTCTCTTCCTTTTTTCCCCCAACCCTTACCTATGGCCATAAACTTAGGGGGAGTGATTAATAGAACCAGATCACAGATCAAAACCAGATCAAAAGTTCTTGGTCGAGCGTTCGTAGCGTGAGGACGTGTTGGAGGATACTCTCGAGGTTCTGTCAGCTAAGTCGTGAGTTAGTTGTTACCTGGCTACTTTGTAGCAGTATTCATAAGTTTCCTGATAGCTACCTCCAACTTCACATTAGATCAGTATCAATCAGTGTAATTACTTTAATTATTAGCGCATTATTCGTAATATTCCTTTTACTACAAGGACTAGGACAGGACAGTCTTACCGGGTTACAACTAGTGTGAAGTACTGCAAAATATAAGTCTAAAGCAGTAGGAGTGTCAATAGGGATCAATAACATTAAGTAAGATGCCTAGGATGTGTAGATGCGTTCGTTGCGGGGATTGGGTAGGTGGGACTAGTGAACGAGAGGTATGCCAGGTATGCAGAGT